AAAGAAAGATGCTAAAATACATACAGGACGGTGTCCGGGGAAGCCGTAGTAGTCAAAGGTGGTATCCCTCGAAGAATATCCACATAAAAGAACGAAACAGGCTCTACACTGTAGAGCCTATAGAGCGACAGGGAGCCAGAAGCGGTTGTAGTAAGGAGATAAGCAGAACTGGAAAGAGTAGCCCAGTGGACAAAGACCTGATGGCATATATAAATTGCCGTCTGCAGTTTCAAACAGAATGATTATATTATTATTTAATCCATTTTCTCAGCAAGCATGGGTGTTTTAGATCTTACACACACCGGATTGGAAAGGTCCCAGAAAGGAGTGTCTACTGTAATAAAGAGATGGATGATCTCGAGTACATTATTTCCCGGTGTTGCAGATGCAGCAATGGATTATAAACTGGAGGAAATGAGACCCAACAAACTAGTAAATTACACGCTAGGTGAAAACAAATTTAAAAAAGGACATAGTTTCATTATTGAAGCCCTCGAGCAGAACGAGATAGACGAAAAAGGCGTTTGAATTTCATAGTAGGCGGCGGTTACCCCTGAGGTAGTCCCGTGATGGGTCTCTGTCAAATAGAAGATAGTTTTTACTAAGTAGTAAAATCCTGAGTCTCATATTACCCCTTAACAAATAAAAAGTAAGTTCAAAAGCTGCTCTTTAAAGCTACCACAGCCCGCTGGTACTATATCAAAGAGCACAAAATATATTGAGGTGTGAAGGTTTTCAAAGAAAACGTAAACCTTAATAGATTCGTAAAATATCGCTTACTTTGATTCGAATATTAAATCAAAAAATATATATATTTTTTCCCCAACGAAACAGAAAAGAAAATTAAAATACTGTGACATTTATATTAGCTGGTACAAACTGACCATTTAATTTATTGCGTTTCAACAGTGACACAGTAACGCGACACTTAGGTAAATCTAGAATAACTTACGAACCTTTAACGCGAATTGATGATTTCAATAGGTGAAAGTGCTTTAGCCTCGTGCTGGTGACAGCAAATATCGAATCCGTCCGACTTCCGGGCTTAAATCTGAACTTTGACCTGTGTTTACTACCATTCGGTTGCAACTACTTGATGACATTTTGTGTCGCTCTACGGCTAGCAATAAGTTTGCTGCCCTATAAGGGCATTTAATAAGGAAGTCGTTAAAATTTACTTATTTCTTTGGCGATTTTAAGAGCGATAACAATTGTGTAATTCAAATTGAGTCGCCTACTGGTTTGTCTTTAACGAACGTTTAGATATAATTGAAGAAGTTAGACTTCTCCAAAAATCTTATTTTGTATACTGTCGTAAAATAACTGAATTCAATGATATTTTTCGTAAATAAATTAATCGCAAAAATGCGAAATGAAATAATTTTTTATTGAATACCTATTCTGATTGAACATTTTTATAAGAATCTTCCATTAAAAAGTTTCTGACAACTGTCAAAATGGCCGCCATATGTGGAGGGTGGGTTACCCCAGAGCACTTAGGCCGACATATTGAATATTATTTTTAAATATGTTACTAAGAACTCGTTTAATAAAGAATATTATGAAAATCCGTTACCTTTAAAAACTTTTTGTAAGACTTAGTGTTTCCATTGAGACTAGCACAAATTACGTCAGAGGCGTATCTTAATATTTTTGTTATTGGTAAACTTTTTAAAAATTCCACCTGCTCTTATCTTAATTATTATTTCTGATGTCGAATTGATTTTTTTTTACTTGAAATCTTTGAACAAAAACTTTTTTATAACGGATTCAATTAATATTTAACCAGAGTACTCTGTGACTTCTTCCCATCCCTTCACATGAAAAACTACTAAATAATTCGTACAATATGCAGATGTGACAAATTGTAAGAATTATGTAGCAATACTATCTTTTACTGTAATTTTTTTTATAAAACTTATAGTTTTTTATGTAAGGGGATGGGGTAAAACGACAAGTTCACACTGTATTCTCATTACATAATAATTTATTGTTATAAGAAATTTTTGTTGGAAGCTTTCAAATAAAAAAAATCAATTTGATATCTGGAATTATGATTAAGATAAAAGCAAGTAGAATTTTTAAAATATTTCCAATAACAAAAAAATGTTAAGATACGCCACTGGTGTATTTTAGGTTACTCTCAATTGGAACACTTAAGGTACCATTTCGGTAGGCACGACAGGAGACAGGAGACCACCGAGACGACCACAAGGACGATAGATGCATAAATGTTACGCTCCGTACATTTGGGAAGCAAGGAGACAGCGCGATACCCGCAGACAACCATTCCAGGGAACGATCAGCGTTGCCAGACCTACTGTTTTTAAGTAGATCCACTGTTTTTGTCTTTAGCAAAATTTGTTCTTAATTTATTAGGTTTGCCTCATTCTTCAGCAAGTGGTTAAAGAATATTTTCTCTAGTAAATTTTCTGCAGTAAAAGCAGCGTAATAAGCAGCCACTATTGTAGGTTTGTTTTTAATTTAAAATGAAACAAAGAATTAATGGGGAATCATAAAAAGAACATGCATGCCAAACACGACTTTGAATTATCTGATTCAGACTGTTCTAAAAGAAGTGGGTACCTATTATTTTTCATTGTTTTTTTTTTTGTTTCCGTACGTTAAGTATATATTAAAAAAGTTATTATTTGTTTTTATTTTTTTTTTACTTTCTAATTTGGGTAGAAAAATGTTTATTTTTAATTTCTTATATACTTGTTTTTTTTATTTACTACATTGCAAATTATAATTATTTCCCCCTGTATTAAAATCTACTGTTACGGTTTTTTTTTCACCCATACTATTCCAGCATCTGGCAACACTGCCTAGATCGAAAGAACTTTCCATCTATCAATTCTATAAAATATCGACTAATCACCTTCAAATACAAGTGATGTCTGAGGACAGTGACCTCGAGTGCGACACGCAGCAAATACTTTGCCCGGAGACCGATCCAAAGTGTCGTCGAAAAGTGTCGTCCAGAAGGATCACGCCGTGCGAAATGTGTTTCATATAATTGTATGTGTTTCAGGCGTGAAGAGACCGTTCTCGGTCGCGTCTGTTGTCGTCTGTCGCGTCGGTTGTCGTCTGTCACGCCTAACGAAATGGTACCTTAAGGTATATAAAGAGTTTTTAAAGGTTATGGATTCTCATATATTCCTCCTTAAACAAGTTATCAGTAAAAATTTTGAAATTTATTATCTAATACAATGGTCATTTTGACAGCTGACAAAACATTTTCAATAAAAGTTTCTTATTCAAAAATGTTCACTAAATTAGAATATTCTATAACAAATTGGGGTTTTTATTTAAATATTAAAATTAAATTGCGATTTACTGATATTTCCGGAAAACTCAGAAGTACGATATGAGGCCACAAAACAATTGAATCAATTGTAATAACAAAAGAAAAAACTGTTCCAATATCTCAAATAATGACTAAGATAAGAGCCGGTGGAATTTTTAAGAAGTTTACCAATAACAAAAATGATAAGATACGCCCTTGGTGTAATTTGAGTTAGTATCAATTGAAACACATTTAGAATAATTATTATCCAATATGGTGGCCATTTTGACAGCTGACATTCTAAATAGAAGATTCTTATCTAAAAGAGTTCAGTAAATAAGAATATTTAATAAAAAATGGGATTTTTTTTTAACAAAAAATAAATCGCGATTTACTGTCATTTCCGGAAAAACCGGAAATACGTCATGCTGTTACAAAATTAATGAATCGGTTATAATAAAGTTCTTACTCCAAACTATTAAACTAAAAAAAAACATTTCGATATCTCAATTAATAAGAAAGAAAAGAGAGGATGTAACCTCTTTTTAACACATCCTGTATACTCGTCTGGCGGGTTTTAGCACCGCCAGAGCGGTCTGGCAGTTGTAGTTATATCAATTAAATATTTCAAATAATATTTCTTGAAAGTTTCAGCCTTATGCTTAACACGTTAGTTAAAATAACCACTAGTTCTCAGTCTAAACACTTCCATTACATGGAATCCACATTATCAAAAGCATCAGTTCAGTAAGGTTGTCAATAAATCCCTGTTAATAGGGCTAAGGTACAAATGTTATACTGTTTATAACAGAGAAAGACGGTATATCTGGTCGAAAATACAGATTTATAAAAGAAGTAGGAAAATCAAGGTCCAACGTGACTTAATATTCACAAAACTCCATTTATATCTGACTTTTATAAATCACTGGAGGATCATCTAAAATTAACAAAACAAATAAAAATCATTAGTTTCGTAAAAATCTAGTCTTAAATAGAAGTTTTTTCAAAAATTAACAAAGTAGCGGCTTTTGTCAATTTACTCCCGGATTTAAGATCAAAAAGTATTAGCATTGTTGAAAAAAATCGAAATTTTGAACCAAAATGAAAATCCTTCTTTCAAAGACTAGATTTATTATTAAATTATTGATTTTTATTTGTTTTATTAATTTCAGATGATCCAGTGAGAACTTTGACTGCAAAGCAGGAAGGGATCCAACAAAGATTGCGATATTTTATAAATAAATAATATATAGTTTTGTAATTTTGTGGAAGTCAAGTTGAAACGTGACATAAAAACTTAAATAAACTGTTTTATTAAAAATACTTCTTTTTCTAGGCATCTGACTGCATCTCACCCATTAATACAAGCCTTCCCTATTCAATTGTGTGCCTCGAAAATGCTCAGTATTATTAATTTTAATTTAAAATTTGAGCAGTGAAATTTTCTATCCAAAAACAACTCCTACTCAAGTTATAATTTGGAAGGGAATTGACAGAATTGATAAAAAACCTGCATTTTGGTTAAAAACGGCCAAATGCCCATTACAGAAGAATGATTTAGAATCATCTCGCTGGTCTCCAACCACGGTTAATATGTGTCTGTTTTCAAATGAATTACCCTGTATACATAAATATTTTCCAAATGAAACTTCTCTTAGTAAAATGATCATTTAAACAAATTGTAAAACTATGTTCAAGCATTTAGACTTACCATTGATACAGCACCTTCTTCCACTATATTCTGTTGACACCCCTCATCAATACCACGGCTGCCACCATCCTCCTGATCTTGCAATTCCTTCAAGACAGGGGAGGTAATTTCCGGTTCTGCAATTTTATAGTCATTTTCATTCTCTTCAATAGACTCCTCAACTTTATCATCTCTAATTATTTCAATTTCGATCTCTTCTTCTCCTTCCGAAACAGTAATAGTTTTGTTAATAGCTTTATCTAAATTTTCTGTTTTAATTGATTCAGATTCCGGCGGTCCCCTCACTTCGACAATATTAGCAACTTGAAACACACTACTACAATCTTTAACATTTAAAGAGACCTGCGCGTCTTCGAAAACATCCGACAACTCACTGATTTTTCCTTCTTTAATTTCCGAATTATTATCTTCCAAATACCACGACGAACCACAGACACTGTCACTGCTAACTGACGAAACGTCTAAACTCGCGGATTTGCTGCTGCCCAATACGCTTTTGCACTTTTTAAGATAATTTTTTACTCTTTTTGTTTTGCTTTGTCGAATTTCCGAGGAACGAAGGGAGTCTCTTTCGTCTTTAGATTCTTTTGATGCATCTTCGGGCGATGGTTTCCATGACTCCTCGTCATAGGTAACGGCTCGAGCCGAGGTAGGTGTAACCTGAAACAAAGAAATAGGATTTTTATTTTCTCCAGTTAAATTAAATTGTGTACTCATATAAGAGTTAAATACATAAAACACTCAAAATTGAAGTCATGAGATATCGCACGCCCAAAAATCATTTGTTAAAATATTTTTCACAAAAATATGACTTTTCATAGATAGTATAGCATAAGGATTTTAAAATGTGGTTTGTTACACAACGACAACAAATTTGGTTACATTCCTATCGCACATTCGACGAAACTGAAAGAATCGTATCAAAATGGATTTTGAAATGGTGAACTTGCTTCTGGAATAGCATTATTTTCTACCATTGCATATAAATAATAAATCATTTTGTTGTATGTTGTATAGAAATTCTCTGGTTTAAATATGGAAAAATTAAAAGGTGAATATTTGATAGACCACAAATAGGGCAGCTAGTTAATGATGGAAGTTTTGTTAAATCAATGAATAAAATCTTAGTCCAACATATGCTATCATGTATAAAAAACCTTCGTTGCAACATGAGCGCTAACTTCACTATTAAAACTCTCATCTGGACCATTTACTTGAAAACCTTCGCCACTTTAGTGATAATCAAGGAGAAAGGTTGCACCAAGAAATATATACCATGGAGGAATGATATAAGGGTAGATAGGACGTAAATATAATGGTAGATTACTGCTGATGTTTGAAAAGAGACCTGTCTAAAGTATCTTATTCAAGAAAGTAATTAAAAGATTAAGGCTGCTTTTTATTTGAACTTTTCGCGAACGCTTACTGAGATAAAGTTTAATAAATCATATTTATAACTAGAACCATAGTAACTACATTTGAATCGCTTATTTCAGAAACAACCTAAGTCACTATTTCAGAGTTTCCAGAAGGTAAAAAAAAACATTTTGAACTAGGAATAGGACAAAGGTTGTATCAGAAATAAACGAATATTTTAAATTGTCATATAACTAAGGATGTTTATAGGAATTATCATTCAATCCAGTTAAGATAGAATCAGCTAATCGACTATAGAGCCGTGGTCGCACTGTGGCCAAAGACCAGGGACATAACGATGGGAATCGCAACGACCGCATCAATGACCGCGTCATCTACGCATCTCAGATGTTAGCTAAAGATACACGTCGTTTGTAGATGTGGACAGTTTGTAAAAATAAATTTCATTAGCTTTATGTTTATCGCAGAATCCTGAATTTGAATTTAATTTTAAATTTTGAGATTATGATTACTTTATATTGTAAGGTGAACCAAGCGACGAAGTTGTGGTTGTTTTTATGTGGAATTCGGGGCACGTATTGTATTAGTAACACATGCCACATGAATAAATTTTACAACCCCCATGTGGCTTTCTTTAATTTACCAACGAAAGATCTTGTAAGACAAACAGTAGCCATTTTTGGCAAAAATTATTTATTTATTGTTAAGAGCAAAACAATGGCTTTAAGGTTGGAAAAAAGAATTTGATGTAAGAAGAAAAATATCTAAATTCCAATTATCGAGTTTCGCAGTCAACATTTCGCATCTGATTAGTTTCAAAAAACGTATCCAAGAATTGTTCTGAAAAAATTAATGCAGTGTTATATTATTAAAGTTAGTAGTGACATTGCATTCAATTTATTTATGTTCTTAGAAAGAATATAATTTATAACATTTTTAAAAATGAGACCATTGGGCCATTCTAATGAAAATAAGAACAAAAATATTAAAGTTAACAAAAATTAAAAAAATATTTGTCATGAATAGATTTACTATTATAATTAATCGATATTGGGCTGCAATTGTAGTATTTGTTTTTAATAAATAATTTATCGTAATTTACATTATTTAAATTTATTTATAAAAGTAAAATTGATATGTTATTAACATTTATTATCAGGTTTTTATATTTCCCACGCCGTTTTTGATTGATATCGATGAAAGCGCCACACAGTAGGTCAGATGTTAACTGCGTTTTTGCTGTTCGTTGTTAATCATGCGTTTCCTATCTTTATGTCCCTTGCCTCTGACTGTGGCATTTCCTGAATCTTTGGTGTAGGAACGGAAATTTATTTGAAGTAAGAAAACAATAAAATTTTTTATACGCAATTTACTCTAAAACTTTAGGGAGATCTCACGCTACTTTTATCTTATTGTGGGCATCCAGATTTTTAAATATTACAAGACAGTTCTAAACCAATTTGATATGATTCTGATTGAACCAAGGCTGCTTGGCCGTCTGATAAAATTAAGACAGTATGTTTTTTGGACTTCTTGGGTTATCTTTTACACATAATTCAATTGCGTGAATAATTAAAATCTATTTTTTAGGATTATTTTATAAATTGAAATAGTCAAAAATTATTTTATCAACATATTCTTCAAATTAATTTTAAAATTTTGTAGATTTTCATTGTCCACATTTTAACTTTGTCTTCGTGTCACATGGCCATCATATTCACTCTTGTTCCAAAAACTCCTACTGTTTTTACTCAGGATTGAATATAAAAACCTGCGCTTTGCCATTATCATATTACATTAAACAAATGTTAAAAACAAAGAAAACAGGGATATCTCCAATCCATGTGTCACAAAATAATACTTGTTACCGATTTCCTTCAGAAAACAACTACTCTTTTGGCTAATACCACATCAGGAATTGGATTAAAACAAAAGGAAAACAACAGACAGAAAATGTTATCAGAACTCTAGCTTGAAAAATTAAATTCATTTTTTGCTAATGAGTGTATCTTAGTGAAAATAGAATAAAAAACAACGTGATTTATTATTTAAATTTGTAACAGCGTGAAATTTTTCAGTAGGTACTCAATAACCATAATGTATCAATTTATTTCAATTTTGTTACAAAACTAAAATTCATACATGCATAAGTAATTACATTTAGTTATATATTTTCACGCCTAACATGTCAATAATATATACAATTTATATTTTTAATATTATTTGTTGTAAAATATTGGTACATGCACTGACGCCTCCGCTATCATTAGGATAATCAATTTTCATTTTTCATCGGACATTATATTGGCCTATTGGTACATATCTGCGATAAAAAAAGGGAAAGTCGGTTGCTTAAATGCAATGTGGGCAGTAAGTAATATATCACTATATAATTTTCTTATGTCTAACAAATAAACCATAAACCGAACTAGTTTTATAATTTTACTAAGAAAATAAGTTATAAATATTTAGTCAATTATATCTAACTTTATTCATGGTTCTTATACATTTCACTCACTACGCTGATTTTCATTTAAGATATTGTAAGCCCTCCTAAGTTTATAGTTCCGAAGAAATCTGCCTTGCAGAATAAAATTCCTTTAAATTGGGCTTATTTACATTAAGCCAGTTGACAGGCCATACGTTAACTTTCAAGGACTGTTCTTGTGTCCAATTACTATGTTATGTTGAGAATGGGGTGTTAATACACTGCGACCCAAAATATATATTGTGCCCCCTTCTGTCGCTAATGCAGCAATGAAATGTCTCGATGTCTATAACGACCCTTCCAATCCTATCTTCTCAAGGAAGTGTAAGATTTGGAGTGGCTACAAATTAGCTAAATCTCCCTCTTCTATTCAATATGCCCTAGGTATAGTACACTTGGATTCTAAAGTGCTACACGTTTTGGAAAATAGTTTTATAATTTATTTTTTAAACATATAAGTAAAGTTTTTCATATTTCTCTATATCAATTTGACTACTTTTTACATTTTGCGTTTTCGCAGTTTAGAGGTATCTTTTTTTAAAAAAAACTTTTAATCTCAAATGGTAAATTCACATTTTTTGCTAAATTATTGAAATTTTAAAGAAAGTTTTTTTCATATTTCAGTGATTGGAAGTATTGGCCTTTGGAGATAATGGCTGATAAAGAAAAGGTTTGGCATCACCTTTCAGTTTTAACTTATTCTTCGGCAATTCCAATACCAATTTTCTTTTAATACAAAAATCCTCAACTCCAAACAAAAATCTTAATCTCAAAAATGCTTTGAAGATGTTCTCGCATTTCTTATATTAAAATCATGTTTTTGATAGCATTTTTCCACCCATAAATGTATCATCGCTGGATTATCTAAAAAATGTTGCTCCCTTACTTAGTATTTAGTATGAATTTTTGTGTTTTTTTTTACCGTCATAATTCGTTATTAGACCTCCTGTAAAAGCTGTATTTAAATTATTACTAATATTATTTCATTTGATGTTATAAAACTTGCGCTTTTTATCCTTGCGCTATTTTGTCCGTGCGCTATTTTTTTCTGCGCTATTTTGTCCTGAGCAATTTTGTCCTGCGCTATTTTGTCTGTCTTGCGTTATTTTATCTTTCGGTTATTTTTTCCTGCGCTATTTTGTTTTTGTGCTATTTTGTCCTTGTGCTACTTTGTCTCTGCTATTTTGTCCTGCGCCATTGTGTCCTGAGCTGTTTTGACATCGAGCCGAATTATATATTGTTGTTTTTAATTTTAGGCAAGTTTTTATGTTCTCATTAATAAAACAACTTCTCATTTTACTCTTATTAAGGTTCATGCTTGAAAATGAATATTTGCAAGAATATATAAACACGAATAAGGAAAGAATAGTAAAAATAGCAATTTTTTCAGATGATCATATGATTCAAGAATACTGTTCCAGGTGTTAAAAAGCAACATTATACTTCTTGTCCAAACCTTTTAAAGCAGACCACTTGTGTTGTGAACTAAATTCACTTTTGTTTTTCTCCAATATTTATAAATCAGCACAGATACGTTCAAAGTTAGAGCTCCACAATTTTTTGTTTTTAAATCCGGCATTTGCCTCTCGAAGTTGCAAATGTCAATATTAAACGGTTAAATATATATTTCTGTTACTGTAAGTATTAAGAGATTTTTGTTAACAAAGGCTAACGTCGGTTTGCTGTTTCTTAATTCCTAAAACCTGTCGAGAAAAGGTTCCATCATTTTATTTAAGAGTGTCGTTTTATTAAAAGAGTAAATGTCAATATCAGAATTATTTTCTTAACAATGTTTT